CAATGCTTTAGTATTCTCAATAGTTTATAAACACACACAGACACACACATACAAAAAAAAACTCTTATATGTTCTTTTTATTTTCCTAAATCAATCTCGTTAGTTTACTATGAAAAGAAAAAACAATATTTTTATTGCATAGCACCAGTAATGTTAAGTAACATTTGAGGACCATGTAGTAAATAGACGATATTTCTTGATTTTGATAGTTGATTTGCAATACCTTCAGCGGCTTCAATTCGTCGAAGTTCGATCAAACCTAACATGAATATTAAAACAAAGTAAGACAGGATAATAAAAGATATTCGAAAATTTACCATCACCAGCTTCATCTAAAGCTTTGCCAATCAAATCAGCTGCACGAGCATCACCTTCTGCTGCAATAACATTTGGTCGATGACTTTGTTCAGCTTGATTCTTTTTTATCAAAAAAAAAAACAAACTCATACAAATTTTATTCTTATTGATTTACTTTTTCGACTAAAAATCGTTGTTTTTCAACATCTTGTTGTGCAACTTGTTTTAATTCAACAGCACTTGTAAATTCAGATTTAAAACTTAAATGTGTCTAATTTAAAGAAAAAAACAATATAATCAACTCGAGATTGTTTTTTTTGTTATATCTTACAATTGAAATATCATCAAGTAATAAACCAAATTGAGCAGCACGTTCTGTTAAGAATTTACTAGCACATTGAGAAATAAGTGTACGTTGTGTAACCAATTCAATAGCATCAAATTGAGACTAGAAATCAGTTTAATTATTCATAGTAATAAAAACAAAAGTGTTTGAGATTTAGTACAATGGATTTTAAAACTTCATTAATAATCGATGGTAAAACACGTTCTTCATAATCTAAACCCAAATTTGCAAAAAAGTTTTGGTAAAAGTTCAGCTCTTGGTCGATAAAGAATATGTAATGTTATATTAATTGTTTGTAAATCTAAAATAAAAATAATAAAATGTAATTTATGCATATTTTATTTATACAAAGAAAAAATAAAGGAGACTTCCGGTTTTAAGTTTATGAAGTATCCTAAGATTGGTGAATGATGAGAGCATAGAGGTGTAAACCGATCAGTTAAGTCGCCATCGATGGCCACAAAATTTTTTAAGATACCTCGGCCATATACATTCATTGATGTTTCAATAGATATCGTATTTACCTTCTTTTTTTTTGCGAGCTTACATTTTTCTCATGTTCACCTCTCTCTTGAAGTTGACTGTTTTCTTCTAGCTTTTATACCTTTTATTTCTGTTATTGATGGAAGAGATCGTGGTCGTGTACGAATATCAAATATAATTGGTCTATGAAGCTATGAAATCATAAAATGAGTTCCTTCTTCAATAACATCTCGTTTAACACCTTGAAAACGATCAAAAATAACATCTCGATGACCACCATCAACTAGAATATATTTCTATTTAAAGAAAACAAGTTTTTTTTTAATCTTTTCATTACTTACCATTATAAAGCATAGAATTAATCACACCACCACCAATACCTAAACCAATACCAATTCTTCCTAAAACACTAAATTCTTCTATCGAAATAAAATATTATCTCAATATCTTACCAATATTATTAAATAAACGAGATGAAGCTATTGTCTTTTTTTTTTCTTCTAAAAGAAAAACATGCATAATCATAATCAAATTAAATTTATTTAGTTGTCTTGTTTTTATTAGCAAATAGTTCCAGAAACAAAACGAAACCATATGAAAATTCTTCATATCTCTATTGATAGAAAAAGAAAATGCATCACTATTTAATCTATCTATCTACTACAATAACAAATCAATGTAATATATACATAGAAAAAGATTAAATAACAATAAACTTTGAAAGCAAAAAAAAAATCCATGCATACTTTTAAATAAATCGAAATCCACTTGAAAAAATATGAGCACCGTTCAGATATTGTTCATCGATTCGATTGTCGAGCTTGACCACAACTATTACGTGTCAGAAAATGTTCACCATTGGGTTTTAATGAATTTAATGTATCACTGTTCTTTCCTACTGTAGCAGCAATTGCTTCGGGTGCTGGAACAGTCTATAAAGAAATTATTTATATCATAGAAAAAAAAAAAGTTTTTCAATTACTATAATTTGATTTTGTTGGAAAAAATTGTTGTGGAAATGATGCATCATCAACACGAAAATCTCCAAGATTTTTATAGTTTTTTAAAATCTCTTCAAGTTTTGGATTGATTTTTGTCGAGAATATTTTTAAAATGCCCAGAATTTTTCTAAACCATATAATTGACCTAAATAGAAAAATTATTTTTGTTATTGACACTTTTCTTTTTTTTGTGTGTGTAATCTATTTTATTACCAGCTTCATGATCTCAAAGAGTTTCTTGTTGAAAATCTTCAAATACATGTTGATGAAAATGTTTTTCCAGATCATATGTATAAAATCGAAATAGACACTCAACACCATATCTATACATAAATAGTAATATTCAATTTTTTTGCTTATTATTTTTCATAAAAACAATTCATTTATATGTCGATGATCAGTTTTAGTATCTTCAACAGCATACCCAGTGAAAAATATTCACGAAAAAAACGGCAAAGAACGCGTTCCATTTTTGTAGAAAACTTTTTTTAAGAAAAAAAACGCTCGCTATAAAAAATGGAACGCGTTCCAAAATGGAACGGTTGAGAATGCGTTCCAATTTTATCGCAAGCGTTTTTTTTCTTAAAAAAAGTTTTCTATAAAAGTGGAACGCGTTCTTGGTCGTCATAATTTAAAACGATGAAAAACGCGTTCCTAGATCAGCTTTTCCTATGAGAGCCCCGAAGAGTTCGAAATGATTAACAAAACCTCTAAGGAGCTCTTGAGAAGCCAGAAAAAAGACGAAAAATCCTTGTAGATTGCCTAGGAACTCCAAAAATTCCTAGGCAGTCTACAAGGATGTCTCGTCTTTTTTTCTGGCTTCTCAAGAGCTCCTTAGAGGTTTTGTTAATCATTCCGAACTCTCTGGGACTCTCATAGGAAAAGCTGATCTAGGAACGAGTTTTTCACGAAAGAATTTAAAAAGGAATTTATTAGATTTCTATGTCCTTACAGCAATATTTAACGAAGATAAACTGGGACATCACTTAATCCTTCTACTAGATCCATACACCCTATCTGAGAAGCCTATCCTTATCCAAAACATAGTCAACAGAGAAAAAATTTCTCAATCTCCTGCATCTGAAGTCACTGGTCACTATCTATAACTAAAGTTCACGGAAAAAACTGTTTGCTTCTATTAAGATGGAATCAAACTGAAGTTAAAACTAAGTGTATCTCCAATAGATGGGAAAAATGATTATTCATATTAGAATGGAATAAAACTATAGAAAAACTAACTCTATCTCTCCGAGATGAGAAAAATGTTTTTTTTTTATTAAGATGGAATGAAGACTAAAGAAAAACTATATTTCTACTAAGTCGGAAAAATAATTCTTTTTATTAAGATTAGGAATGCTGCATTAGCATCGCATTAGTTTTAATGCTAACATCAATTTTCTTTTGTTACAATCCTAAGACAAAAGTATTGCACTTTGTATTGATTAATGTAACGTTAAAGTGGAGCAGCATCCCTGGCTAGTTTCG